GTTTTGAACGGTACCCATCAAACGATCCTTTAGATTCTGCAAGAAACAAACGAATAATTGTTCAAGGGAATCGCACATCTGCAGCTTCATCACGGCGTATATCAATAACATGAAAATGTGTCGTTAAAAAAGTTTCAGTGACAACAAATGATAGAAATCCATTTTTTCCAACCTTCACTTTCCCTGGACGTCTGACTTTTGCGTGCACCGAGCCAACACCCCAATGACGTTCCTCACGGAACAAATATATCCATGCTTCCGGAATTGGGAATCTGATCTGAATATCTTCACATGGGATTTGACGTTTTGCTACCCTACCACCTTTTGTTTTCTCTGTCTGAGCGGCCACCATTGCTTCAAGACGGATTTCAATCTGCAAATCGAAATTTATTCATCGACGGATCTACTGGAAACAGTTAAGTCACAGCATTCACATATTTGAATCGATGCTGTCCGGCAACAGTGAAAGCTTGCATAGTAAGCAATCTAGAACTAATAATTCTGGAATTCGTACGAAATTCCCTCTTTTATGAGCATTCTGATCGTGGTTTCTAGTAAATGAAGAGACGGGATATGATCTTTCGATGATCACTAAACAAAACACTTCGGACGTACTTTAGATCCGGCGATTTTCATGACACAGTTTACCGATAACGGTTTCTCTCGATTTCGCGGCGGCCTTATTCGGAAACGCATCACCTGAAATTTCAAAATACATCAGAAAATAAGTCAATTCCTCTCTCAGTCAACGATTCGACTGAATCATGATGTTTGAGATGGCAGTGAATATGGATTGAATTGAACTTATTGAACGAACTACCTCAAAGAAACATCCGTCTGGTGGTGAGAATCGTATCACTTGCTCTTTATCGAATGTGTCCGCATCGACCGTGTTATGGAACTCAACATTCTCGAAGCGAATCCATCGTTCCGTATACATCGGGAGAATATCTTTACGACGAACAATTTCCTGAATGCATGACACTGCAGTCGTGACTTATTGATGAATTTCACTTATTAGCAGAATGCACAAATATCAGGTCTTATTCTCTGAAAGGTGTTCGGTTTTACCCGTTTCAAGCGATTAAACGAACCTTTCCCTGTCGTCGTCGATCATTCAATCCAACCTCGATTAACGGTGATCCAGAAAGGAACGCCAAACAAAACAGACGCACACGAGCCTTTTGATCGCTCAATATATTATGTTTATCCACATAAGCGTAGTATTCATCATAGCAGTGAACCTGAAAAATGATTCACAAGATATATCACACAAATTCAATCCAAGCTAAAATTTGCACCATCAAAATGACGAATAAGTTCACCTGAACTTCGTCTTGCTTATAGATAGGAGCCGTNAACTCATAACCTTTAGAATCAATCGGACACGATCCATCTGCTGTTTTGACTTTACTCATGCAACGTTTCAGCAACGTTGAGGAGTGCTCGCACTGCTAAGAGTATCACCAAACGTCACAATATCTCTCAGAATTACTGATCGAATACAGANTCTCGTTTTGCGATACACTTGAAGAGAACATCCTCAACGGTCGCAACGAACGACGACAATTCACCAGCATTCAGTGAACCAAACTTGAGCAACACTGTACACTGAGCCGAATGTTCCAGTGGCAAACCATATTTTGTGATATGGCCCTCGACCAATCGACTGATCTGACCTACAACTCATAACCTTTAGAATCAATCGGACACGATCCATCTCATGTTTTGATTTCACTCATGAAACGTTTCAGCAACGTTGAGGAGTGCTCGCACTGCTAAGAGTATCACCAAACGTCACAATATCTCTCAGAATTACTGATCGAATACAGATTGACGCCTAGCAAACACTATTCGGCCAAGAAAATGTAACACCGAACCTGGCCTTATGCCGACACGTTCTTTGTACAATACGTACTGTAGCTTGACTGTATGAATTTTACCGTACACATCGTACGCTTGTAAAGTCGTATCAGACAATGAATAGGTCGCCTGCAAAGAAACTGGTGAGTTGGATCAAACACGTTGAAATTTCCAATTGTACGGAGTGAACAGATTTTCAGAATAACAACAAACGATTTAATACTTATATGAATATTCCGAAATTACAAATCCGATGATTGCGGTATTTTATTTCTGGTAAGGATATAAACTTTTTTGAGAACATATTTAAGATAATGTCAACCAATCCGACTTGATAGATAGAAACAATCACGAAGATATAGTGGATCGGAATGAAATATTTCAATGAACCTGTAGCACGATCTCTTGAAAGGGTTTTTGATCTGTTCGAGAATTGCACAGTTGCAGTGTGCTACCGATCAATTTTATAAAGCACGGTTTCCAGTAGCGATCGCCCATCATCTTCTTCTTTATCGGATGCCTCACCATTAACTCCCAACCATCTCCGGCGAATTTCGTCGGGAATTCCGTCAACGGTTCACTATCGTCTTCGTCATATAATGGCGACGGTGTACTCAGCGCATCGTCCTTCAATTAGTCATGAAGTGAAGACTTCTTCAGAAAAGGTTAATAAGAAATACGGCGATGAACAGAATAGACTGGAAATCTGCGACAATT